AACACTTCACGCCAAAACCTTAACCCTGTTTCTTAAAATTACTGGTACCTTGCACAGGGGTTTCATACTACATGCACTCTCTCTCTATATACTCTATATCTACACACGTACAGATCTAGATTAATCTATCTTTATCTATATACACACATACAAGTCTTTATATCTACACACAGAAGGTATTATAATGTAGTGTCTGGATTCGGGTCCCATGTTGTCTGCACACCGCTGAACCCTAAGCCCTAAGCCCTAAACCCTAAACCGCTTAAACCCTAAACCCTAAACCCCAAACCCTAAACCCTAAACCGCTTAAACCCGAAACCCCAAACCCTAAACCCTAAACCGCTTAAACCCGAAACCCCAAACCCAAACCCCATCTGTTCCACATTCAGCTCCCAGGTCTTTTCAGATGCCCTGCGGCAGTTGCCTCAGTCGTTCAGGGTTTAGGGTTAAGGGTTTAGGGTTTAGGGTTTAGGGTTTTAGGGTTTTAGGGTCCAGAGTTTAGGGTTTAAGCGCTTTAGGGTTTAGGGTTTTAGGGTTAATTTTAGGGTTGAGAGTTTAGGGTTTAAGCGCTTTAGGAGGCTTCACGAGCCACTGAAGGCGAACTTGACAAAGAAACCCTGGCCCTGTAACCCTCAAGTATTGGGGTTCATATAAACAGGCTAATAAAGACTCAAGCTTGCTTAACCAGGTTCCTACATTATGCAATATACGGCTGATGATAAAACAAGAATCCTGCATTACCCATGATAATGAATATACCATAACTCCCATAGTTTAGGGTCCTTAAGGTAATGCAGGATTTATATCAGTAGGCACAGGGGCTTCAGACTTGGGTGACTGCAGTTCAATAGCAACCAGAACAGTAAGTCTTTAAGCTTTCATTGTTTAAACCTACTTGTTTGGGGGTTTAGGGTTTAGGGTTAATTTTTTTCAGGGCGGTTTAGGGTTTAGGGTTTGGGGTGTTTAGGGTTTAGGGTTTGGGGTGTTTAAGGACTTATTATTATATGGAAATCTTTTTTAAGAGCCCCAAGAAGCTAGATTCTTCTGGGTTTCTCAGGGTCCAGGTAGGGTTTAGGGCGTATAAGCCTCATCCCCAGACCAACAACCCCCTCAGCCCTGTAGGGCTTTCGGTTTAGGGTTTAGGGTTTAGGGTTTAGGGTTTAGGGTTTAGGGTTTAGGGTTTAGGGTTTAGGGTTGGTTTAGGTCTTATATAAGGGCTAGGGTGCAGGGTTCAGGGTTTTGGGTTGGTTTGGGGTGGTTTTGGGGCCACCCTCAACCGCCAACCAATGCACTACCCTCTCCGGCGTGGCAGGCAAGTTGTTGAACCTTAACTATAAGCCCTGAACCCTAGATTCTCTAAACCCTTACAGTTGTTGAACCCTACGCCCCTGAACCCTAAACCCTAAGCCCTAAACCCTAAACCCTCAGCCATAACACAAACAGTCTCATTTTCTAGGTAGGCCCTTCTTGGGTCAGTTTATAATTGTTTATTTTCCTTTATTGGGCCGAAGAGGATCTTATCTACGAATCGAGTTTTTTCAAAGGCTTTGAAGGGCCAACCGAGCTTTTGAAGTCTATAGTTAGAGGATCTGATGTATGAATATTTTTCCAAGGCTTTAAAGGGCCAACAAGTTTTGAAGTCTTTAGTTAGTCCATGACAAACCCCAAACCCTAAACCCCTA